GACCTTTGTGCTACTGCTAAATATGTTTCCTAAGTGGTTGCCAGAATTTAGTTTGGACCATCAGAGCTCTGTTGCTTCACGTCTTCACCAACACTTTAGAAAATTCTTTCAAATTTTTGCTATTTGGGTAAATATGTAGTAATATGTTGTTAGGAAGATAATTTGCATTTTGCTGATTTTTTTTTATGAATTTATATAACTTTTCATATGTTTACTGTCTCTTATCATATGTTTTGAATTATTTTCTTCCGTAAGTTGCCGAACAAGCTTATTTGGCCATTTTTATACTGAGTTGTCTGTTTCTTCCTTTAAATTTGTCAGACTTCAAATTTATATATTCTACACATGAGACTTTTTCCAGGTTTTTGTTGCTTGCTTTTTTTCCTACCTTAATGGTGGCTTTTGATGAATAGAGGTTCTTAATTTTGATAAAGTCAAATTTACCAATATTTTCTTTTATGTAGAGTTTTTTTGTGTCTGTTTAAGAAACTTTACCTGGGACTTCCAGTAAGATGGAGGAATAGGCAGACAAGTGATACAGACCCTCTTCAACAAAGAAAAGAAAAAACAATTGACAGAGATACAGAAGAAATCCTGGAGCCCTGAGCTTTGAAAAGAACTATACATAAGTGGATTAGGCACCAACTAGTGGAAAACCTGAACAAAAACAGTGAGTCCAGAGATGGTTGGAGCTGTGGACTGTCAGCTACTCTGACAGAACGAATAGCCTGAATATTTCCAACTGGTATTGGGACCTGAGAATTGACCTAAAGATCAGCCCTGGTCACCAAGGTGTGTAGGGATGACTGCACTTGGTGCCCTGTGACTAGGAAGGGAAATAGCAAGGTGGGAGAAAACCTGAGCTGTTGACTTTCTGTTGTCCGGAGGGCTCAGCCATTTTGATTGTTTACACATGGCAGCCATTTTGGATATTTAAAGTGACCAAGGGTGGAGCCATTTTGAGTATTTATAAGTGGAAGCCATTTTGGATATTTAAAGTGACTGAGGGTGCAGCCATTTTGAATGTTTACAAGCAGTGACCATTTTGGATATTTAAAGTGACTGAGGGCACAGCCATTTTACAAGCGGTGGCCATTTTTGGATATTTTAAATAACCAAGGGCACAGCCATTTTGAATCTTTACAAGTAGCAACCATTTTGGATTTTAAAGTGATAGCATTCTCATTCAAATTCCAGGGACCTAAGAATAAGCTTTGTTTGCCAGGGTCGGCAGGGACATACGAGAGGCTGACAACAGGAAAGGAGACAGGTGGCGAGTGTATAAATGCTGTCCATTAGCAAATAGAGAAGCACAGTACCCTGCTTGCATAGATAACATACAAACAAAGCAAAGAAAATGAAAATTGTGGGCAAGTCACTCCAACATACAATCACCAATTAAATATGAACACAAAAATGTCACAATGCCTTGGAGACAACAGAGCATCACAATGCACACAAAGAAGCAAGATAAGTCAGGAGAAACAAGGGACCAGGATACAGACCCAAAACACATCCCTGAGGAAGACTCAGCACTAGAAATCCCTGATAAGGAATTTAAAAGAATTGTATTTAGGTATCTTCAGTGAATTGAGAGACAAATCAAGGAAAACACAGAGAAAACCCTAGGACAATTTCAAAAGACAATATAAGAACAAAATGACAAAATAAATGAAAAATTAGAAATGATACAAAATCTACATACAGAAATCCAGAAGATTAATATTAAATTTTCAGAAATAGATAAGATGTTGAATGAACAAAGGAGCAGAATTGAATCAATGGAAGACAGAATTAGGGAGATTGATGAAAAATACCTGAACACTTCTTTGGAAAGGGATCAATCAGAAAAAAGATCAAAATAAAATGAAGAAAGCCTGAGGTTCATGTGGGATACCATCAAAAGGAATAACCTATGTGTAGTCAGAATTCCAGAACAGGAAGAGACAAATAAAACCACAGAGAAAATTGTAAAAGATTTGTTGGAAGAGAATTTTCCTGGTGTGAAATTCAGGAATTCCAACGAACCCCAAACAGGATAGACCCCAAAAGAAAATCAACCAGACATATCATCATCAAACTTACCAAAACCAAGGACAAAGAAAGAATCATGAGAGCAGCACGTGAAAAACGAAAAGTTACCTACAAAGGGCAACCAATAAGACAAAGCTCGGATTTCTCAAGAGAAACCGTGCAGGGGAGAAGACAATGGAATGGTATATATAAAACCCTGAAAGAGAAAAATTTCCAACCAAGAATTATATGTTGTTGTTGTTGTTATGTGCCGTCGAGTCGGCCCCGACTCATAGCGACCCCTCCTTGGGTTTCCAAGGCAGTATCACTACGGAAGTAGG